CCGGTAAGCTTTTTACCCCCCCCCCCCCCCCCCTTTTTTTTTTAAAAAAAATTTTGACTGAAGTGCCAGCCTAGCTTTCAATGCATTAGGCTTCAGCCAAGGCACGACCTCGACCAATGTTTCTTTTATTTATAATAATAATAATTTTTTTCTTTGCTACAAGGCGGCTTGCCTCTAAGTGTTTCGCCTTGCTTGTTGACCATGTTAGTCTTCTTGTTGTTAATGGATGTGATATACTCAATTGATGATGATGTCATTCCTTTAGATGATGAGGAGTATTTTCCTGATAATGACAATTCTCCCCTCTTTGATAATTTTCCCTAAATCCCCTACACTCATAACCCCCTGTCTTCTAATTCTTCACACCCATTTAACGTCAAGTGGGCATCTCAAGCTGAGCTAGCGCGGGGTTTCCCCCTAAAGGTTTCCAAGTACTCTACTGAGTAGGAGTTTGCGAAATTGGGGTTTTTTTAGGATTCGACCAGCTTCCCTTAAACCGACCAGTATCCTTGTTTTGTTGTAGCCCATAGATGTGTCCTTGTCAACTACGGAATCTAATTGTGTTCGTTTGTTGTAGTTGCCATGTCTTCAAGGTCCAATCGATACCTATCGCGGCTTTCACAAAATCCTCCGTGTAAGAAAAGTAAGAAGACAATTCCCGTGGGAAAGGAAAGAAGAGTCAAGGTGTAGCGACAAAGGAGGTAACGTCGCCCCCGATGAATCTAAATTCTAGTCCAACTAAGTCCTCCACCCCTTCTTCCAACACCCCTCGTCCCCGAGTAGGGAGAATCCTTTGTAGATCGAAATTCACGTGCATGAACCAATCTGATTCGGCCATGAACAGACGTGCCTACTTGAACATCTCTAATAAATGGTAGTATCGATCCCGTCAAGTACACATCTCTTCTTGTTCCTTCTGCAGAGGGTTTCTTACTTGGGTGTCATGGATGTGAATTTTCTACAAGAGCAGTACCTCAGACACATTTTGAGGTTAGTTACTTACTTTTAAGGTCTTTGTTTATCGTGTCTCAACATGTCGCACCTTATGTTTCACTGCAGGCTATGATGGAAGGAAAAGTTATTCACGCCCAATGTCAGCAAGTAATGCATGAAATCCTTGTGGAGAATAAACGCATCAAGGAACTTTTATCCAAGAAAAGTAAAACAAACAATTCATGTAGGAAAGGAAAGAAGAGTCAAACTGTTGTGGTTGAGGATGTGACGTTTCTATAGTCAAATCTAAACTCTACTCCAACAAAGTCCTCCACCCCTTCTTCCCAGCCCCCGGAGTAGGGGGCAACCTCTATAGATCGAAATTCACGTGCCCGAACCAATCTAATTCGACAATGAACGGTGCCTCCTGGAGCATCTCTAATAAATGACAGTATCTATCCCGCCGAGTACGCCGCTCTTCTTTCTCCTCCTGAGGATGTGTCTTACTTGCGTGCCATGGATGTGAATTTGCTACAGTAGAGGTATCTCAGACACATTTTTGAGGTTAGTTACTTACTTTTAAGGTCTTTATTTATCATGTCTCAACATCTCTCACCTTATTCTTCACTGAAGGCTATGTTAGAAGGACATGTCATTCACGCACAATGTCAGCGAGTAATGCATGAGATCCTTGCGGATAATAAACGTATCAAGGAGCTTCTATCAAAGAAAAGTAAAATAGACAATTCCCATGAGAAAGGAAAGAAGAGTCAGGGTGAAGCGGCTGAAGATGGGACGTCGCCCTCGTCAAATCTAAACTCTACTCCAGTTAAGTCCACCACCCCTTTTTCCCAGCCCCCAAAGCCGGAGAAAACCTCTGTAGATCAAAATTCGCGTTCCTAGACCAATTCTATTCAGATAGGAACGGGCGTGCCTCCTGGAGCATAACTAATAAAACGTTATTCTGCTTGCCTATCGGTCTCATAATAACAAGGAGCCAATTTATATTTATTCACAATAGTAATAAAAGAGCAACTGTGACACTCCGTAAATCCAAATTCTAGTTAAGGAGTAATTAATACTAGCTTAATTGAAAATTTAATTCCTAAAATCCTAAAAATTCAATAGTCGGGGACTAGTAATTGATTAGTCAACCCAAGTCAATGAGATGTACTCTAAGCTTTGTGAATAGTTCCCCTGTCCCCTTACACTTTTCCATCTTAGTAAGGGTAATGAAGACATTTCACCTCATGATTGTATCCCAAGCTAACCTAGAGTGATATTTCATTCTTTCCCTAGCACTCTCAAAACAAAAGCTCCTCCTTCTCTCTAGAATTTAGCTAGCTTCTTCTTCAAGCCAAGTTTGGGCATTCCAAGATCTTTCAAGTTGGTCTCCAAGATTCCACCTTTCTTACTCTTGAGCATATAGGAGGGTAAGATCTTTGGTCCTTTAGATTTTTGGTACCTTTTAAGTTGTCTTTTTCTAAAGATGAAACCTTTGTTGCCTTTTGGTGTGTTTGTGAAGTAAAAGTTGAAGGAGAACCTTGTTAGAAGCTTGTAAAGGTGTATTAAGTGAAGGTTTAGGCTACAAGAGGTAACCCATGCTCTACAAAATCTATTTTACTTACCTATATGATGATTCTAGGATTCTACTTGTGGTTTTGCTTTGAAATGTGAGTGTTGATGCATTATATTGTGAAAATGCATATCTAGAGCTTATTATTAGGGTTCATGTATGTCATTGCTTGGCAATTCCTTTGACTCAAGTCATGTTATTGTATTTTGTGAGATTTTGGGTGTTTTGGACTTGAATTTGAGCTTGGAGTTGAAAATCCCCGAAGGGATTATTTTGGTACAGGATATGTACCCGTGGGCGGAACGGTGGGTAGGGGTCCACCCGCGGGGTACGTGGGTTTATAGGAGAGGTTCCCACAGGCGGAACCACGGGTGGGGGTCCACCCGTGGACCCACCCGCGGGTACAATGATGGTGTTGTTTGGGGATTTGTTCCCCGTGATTCTTTTGACTCGGTAATGGATGTTTTGACTTCCCGATGTTCTTTGTTGGGCTTTTGAGTGTCTTCTTGATGTTTCATATGTCTAGAACTATATGGTAGGAATCCATGTAGGAATTGGTGTCTTGAATCGTGCTAAGTTTTCAACCTTGTGATTCGTTGAACCATGTTGAGTCTTGTATGTTCTTCGCAACTATGTTTTGTTTACCCGTTTGATAAACATGCTAGTTCGGTGTTGAAATGCTAGCGTGTGTGGTTTGTTCCTTCCTATTGAGGATGATAACTTGCGTTGGTCATCGTTGTTGTCGGATTGTGATCCTTTTCTTGTTGAGTATGGTTTCATATCTTTGTAATGGTCCACTGATTAATTCCTATGATGATGTTGTGTATGTTGGTTGTACCTAGATTGCACGATTAATGGAATGGGACATTAGTCACCAAGGTACGGAAGTGGTGCTCGTGGTGGCCATGACGTGATTTTGGAGTTGTGACCTGTGTGTCGGGTTCACGTGTTGTGGGTGGCTTCTACCGTGTGTTGTGAACGGTACCCTCGTGTACTATGAATTGGTGGAAATTGTTGGTGGTTGTTGGTGAGGGAACGACGGTTCCTGGAGGCATATGGTTGAACTTGGATGTATAGGGGTCCTGGAGGTAATGGTTGGAACTAGCTATAAGGTTGGGGGTAGCCATAAGGTTGGAACTGGGCATAAGGATGGAATATTGAATTCGTGATGAGTGATGTCACAAAGGCATGTGTTGCTGATGTGTGTTCCTCTATTCTCACATGTTGAGCATGTCGGGTGGTATTCTACTGGGTGATGGTAGAATACACCTTGAGTTGTACTGGTGTTGTTGTTGTCATGTCTTAATGTGTTTGGGATGTGTTTCCCCTGATCCTTGTTGTGAGTGATATAGAGTCTTTGTGGTTGACTTCTATCTCTGGCTTTGAACTGATATATATATAGTATTCCGTTTCGAAAATGATTTTGTATAATACTATCTATGTATGATATTTAACGCGTATTGATGGGTTACCAGCATTATTCGCTGACCGGGCGTCGTCCCATTTCTTTATGTGCTTTTCAGGTCCCGAGTAGTCGGCAAGCGCGATAGTCATGGATAGATTAGAACCCGTGGACTGTTTAGTTGTGTTTTGGCACTGTGTGCCCCTTATGTTGAACAAATTAGATTGTCGTTTGATGTTGGTTTTTGCCTGTGCGTCCACAATGGTGTGAACGTGGCATAACACCCCTTTTTACCCGGTTTTTATAATAGTAGACTTCCGATGTGCTTTGCTTTATGTTTTTATGTTTAGTTTATCTTGCATATTTAAGTTTAAAATGGCATTAAAATCGGGGGTGTTACAGTTGTTATCAGAGCCTAGGTCTGAGCCTAGGATGCTAGAGTCTAGACTTTTAAGAAGATAAGTGTTGTTTTGAGACCCTAAGCGACCGTAAGAATCTAAGTTTTTAAGTACCTAAGTATAGGATCCTTAGGACGTGCGGTGAGGTTGTGAGTTCTTTTACCGTTTTCTATTGTGTTGTCTGTGCTTTGTTTCCCTTTTTGCTTTGGTTCTCTTGAGTTAAGGCACCAGGTAAGGGTGCGGGCCATAAGTCTGTCCCGTTATCGTGCTATTGCTGTAGAAGTCAAGGATGGCACCATCGAGACGTCGTGTAAGGTCTTCAGAAGTAGTCACCAACGAACAGCTAGCCCAGAATCTGCAGCAGCTCACGCAGACCATGCAGACACTCAGTGAAGCTCTGTTGCACAACAATCATCCCGCTCCACCTCCGTAGCCTGCCGGGCATAGAGATGTAGGGCGCCTTGTATCGGGCCATAGACCTCCGACGTTCGCCGGTGAGGAAGACCCCGTTGTTCTTAAGGAGTGGGTTCGAATGTTCGACAAGATCTTCTCGGTCGTTGGGTGCCCCGAAGAGCGTTGAGTGGAGCTAGCATCGTTCTACTTCAGCCATGAAGCGGACTTGTGGTGGGTGCACGAGGGACCCGCTTGTCTTGAGGAACCCGACTTCGGTTGGACAGCCTTGAAGGACAGGATGCGAGAGCGGTTCTACCTGGCACATGTTCGAGCTGCTATGTATGAGGAGTTTCTGCATCTCCAGCAGGGCTCATCTTCGGTGGTTGAGTACCACAAGAGGTTTCTGGAGCTCGCTCGCTTCGCCAGGATGCTTGTCCCCATCGAGCTCGCAAAAGTTGAAAAGTTCGTAGCTGGTCTGAACTACGAGGCTCGCAAGGCTTTAACCGTGAGCAAGCCGAGGTCTTTGAAGGAAGCTTACCTGAGTGCTGCGGACTTGTATCGGGTGCAGCAGTTGCAACGTGGGTCTTTTGAGCTTGCTAGGAAGAGGAACGAGAGTGGAGGATCTTCCAACTTCAAGAGACCAAGGCAGAATTTCCAAGCCAAGAACGCACCCTCCCCAGCTCAAGGACCAACTCGAACGGAGCCCGGAAGCCATGCCAAGACGTTTGCGTGTCGAAGGTGTGGAAAGGAGCATGCTGGAAAGGATTGCAATGGTCATGTATTCCGATGTTTCCAATGCAGGGAGAGAGGGCATAAGGTTGCCGAGTGTCCTCAGCAAGCCAATCAAAGGGCGTTGCCACCATCTTCGGGATCTGGAGGAGCATCGGGAGGGAGCTCGAGTCGAGGAGCAGCCGGAGCTAGACCTTCGGGTCGGATTTTCATGATGGGGCAATCTCAGGCAGAGATGGAGGGACTGGTTGAGGACGAGACGGCAGGTAACCCTTTTCTAAGCCTACCCTTGTCTTGAAGAATATATCTTGTTCCTTGTTGCCTTTTTATGTTGTCTTGCCTCCTTGTTGTGTGATTTTTTTGGTCTTAAGTGAAAATCCTTCATAGAGTTAATTATTTGTCTCTAAAATGGGGTATACTCGTTAATTCCATAGCCTTGCACATGTACTCTTGCAACCCATCTTCCTTGTGATTCACCTAAATTTATTTAAATGCCCTTTTGAATTTATAGTAGAAAAACCCATAGAAATTTCTTCTTGTATAGCCTAAAAGACCAAGTAAATTTTAAAATTATAACTCCTAAGTTTCGAACCCAGGTGTACCATTTACCAACCCAACCTTTAAACCACTTGAGCTAGTTATGTTTCTTAAACTTTACCCATTTTAATCCCACTTAACCCATAATTTCTAACTTTATCCAAAATCCCCAAATTAAATCTTCTCTTTCCCAATTCTTCCCCAAAATCCCTAAACCCTCAATTCTTTTCCCTTCTTCCCCTCCACCCGTGTGCACCAGCCGAGACACCCCCTCCCCACCCCCCGTCGCCACCTGCCCGTCGCTCGCCGGCCAGCCACCACCGCCCGAAGCCACCATTGACCAGAGCTGCCTCGTCGCCGCCGTCCTGCTGTGCTGCCGTGAAGCCGAGAGAGCAGCGAGAGATCAAGAGAGAGAGGCAGCGCGAGAGAAGAAGAAGAAAAGGGGAGAAAAAGCTTTGGGTCTTCTTTTTTAGCTTTGGGTCATCTTGCAACCATGCCTAGGAGAACAAGTTTGGCAAGGAAAGTGGAATGGGTGGATGCCCATTATCTCGTTTTGGAAGGTAAAGCCTTTGACTCGGAATCTTTTTCTAGTTCTTTGTTGGATTTGTTGAGATACCAAGGTTTGTTAGATGGGTTTCTCGCCATAAGGGCCGAGACATACCCGAGCTTGGTTAAGGAGTTTTACCGTCACATGGTTGTGACAAATGAGGGTGGAAAGTTAGAAGTCACCTCTAAAGTGAGGGGTGTGAAGGTTGTTTTATCCGAAAAGAGGCTGGCTCAGCTCTTAATTCTAACTGCTACGGGAGTTTCACAGTACAGTGGTAACTCTTGGATTAGTACGGATACCATGGGGTACCGGGATTATTTGAGCTATCTTTTGGGTCGGATTAGTGGTTTCACTCAAGCCTCGAGACCGGAGAAGAAATTGTTGTCTGCCGAGCAGAGAATCTTGGTTATGCTGGTATCGGATTGTTTGTTGCCCAATAACAACAAAAGTCGGTTGTTGGGAAAGCTAGAGTGTACCTTTGCCTTCTTTTTGAAAAACATGGTGAAGTTTAATTTGCCTGCCTTGATGTTACAACACATGGTCTTTTGCCAAGACCACAACCGGAAGAGTCTACCGTACGGGATGATTTTGAGTTAGATCTTCGTCAGAAAGGGTGTGAGTGTTGAAGGTTGTGTGCCGAAGCCCGTAGGCAAAATGGTGTTAGATGCCACAGATCTGCGAAGCTGCAATCTGTTTCAGTTGGATGACGATGAGTACATCACACTGGAAGAAGTTACCAAGAAAACCCCCGAGGAGAGAGATGTGTTGGTGGATGAGCTTGAGATTCCCGTTGGGAAGTTGAACCTCGCCGTTCAGAGTTTGGGAGGTGATGTGGGAGATGATGAAGAAGGAGACCAAGAAGAGAATGCCGAGGTAGGAGAAGCTGCCGAGGTTGAGGAGAGTGACTCGGGGAGTGAAGATAATCTAGGGAGGAAAGAAGCCCGAACCAAGAGAGAGCACGACGCTATGACACACGAGGAGCGCGTGGTCACCCTTTTACGCCAACAAAACAAGATGATAGAAGAGGGCTTTTCTTTTATGAAGACGCAGTTCGTTGCAGTTTATCAGAGGTTAGATCAGATAGAGGCCAGTTCGAGCCAAAGAGGAGATGATGAGGAGTCCGATGAAGACACCGAAGAATCGGAGAGTGAGTCGTTCTAGTGCGGTGTTGTGGTAATCCCGTCTACCTTTCCCTAGCTTGTTGTTACCTTTTGTGTTGTTGCTACCGTTCGCTTGTTGCTTTGTGTGTTCGTTCTTGTTTGCTAGATGTGTTGAGTAGTTAGCTTCGTAAGCTGTTCTTCTAAGACCTAGTTGTTTAGAACGTTGGTGTGGGTTAGAAAGTTTGGTTGTTGTGTTTGACCTTAGTGTTGTTATGCTCAAAGAACTCCGTAGATTACTTCTTTTCAACTTTTCAATGCTATGACTTCTTGATCATTTTGGTACCTTTTGAATCCTATAAGTTTTGAACAAAAGGATATTCTTGACTCTCTTGTCACATTGTTGTTTTGTGTTACCGTTTTGTTTTAATTCGTCGTACCCAAGCTTCGGGGACGAAGCTTCTTTTAAGGGGGAGAGGATGTGACACCCCGTAAATCCAAATTCTATTTAAGGATTAATTAAGTAATTAATCCTAGCTTAATTAATAATTTAATTCCCAAAATCCTAAAAATTCAATAGTCGGGGACTAGTAATTGACTAGTTAACCCAAGTCAATGAGATGAACTCTAAGCTTTGTGAATAGTTCCCTTGTCCCCTTACACTTTTCCATCTTAGTAAGGGTAATGAAGACATTTCACCTCATGATTGTATCCCAAGCTAACCTAGAGTGATATTTCATTCTTTCCCTAACACTCTCAAAACAAAAGCTCGTCTTTCTCTCTAGAATTTAGCTAGCTTATTCTTCAAGCCAAGTTTGGGCATTCCAAGATCTTTCAAGTTAGTCTCCAAGATTCCACCTTTCCTACTCTTGACCATATAGGAGTGTAAGATCTTTGGTCCTTTAGTGTTTTTGGTACCTTTTAAGTTGTCTTTTTCTAAAGATGAAACCTTTGTTGCCTTTTGGTGTGTTTGTGAAGTAGAAGTTGAAGGAGAACCTTGTTAGAAGCTTGTAAAGGTGTATTAAGTGAAGGTTTAGGCTACAAGAGATAACCCATGCTCTACAAAATCTATTTTACTTACCTATATGATGATTTCTTAGATTCTACTTGTGATTTTGCTTTGAAATGTAAGTGTTGATGCATTGTATTGTGAAAATGCATATCTAGAGCTTGTTATTAGGGTTCAAGTATGCCATTGCTTGGCTATTCCTTTGATTCAAGTCATGTTATTGTATTTTGTGAGATTTTGGGTGTTTTGGACTTGAATTTGAGCTTGGAGTTGAAAATCCCCGAAGGGATTATTTTGGTACAGGACATGTACCCGCGAGCTGAACGGCGGGTAGGGATCCACCCGCCACCCCACCCGCGGGGTACGTGGGTTTATGGGAGAGGTGCCCGCGGTCGGAACCACGGGTGGGGGTCCACCCGTGGCCCCACCCACGGGTACAATGATGGTGTTGTTTGGGGATTTGTTCCCTGTGATTCTTTTGACTCGGTAATGGATGTTTTGACTTCCCGATGTTCTTTGTTGGGCTTTTGAGTGTCTTCTTGATGTTTTGTATGTCTAGAAATATGGTAGGAATCCATGTAGGAATTGGTGTCTTGAATCGTGCTAAGTGTTCAACCTTGTGATTCGTTGAACCATGTTGAGTCTTATATGTTCTTTGGAACTATGTTTTGTTTACCCGTTTGATAAGCATTCTAGTTCGGTGTTGAAATGCTAGCGTGTGTGGTTTGTTCCTTCCTATTGTGGATGATAACTTGCGTTGATCATCGTTGTTGTCGGATTGTGATCATTTTCTTGTTGAGTATGGTTTTATATCTTTGTTGTGATCCATTGATTGATTCCTATGATGATTTTGTGTGTGTTGGCTGTACCTGGATTGCACGATTAGTGGAATGGGACATTAGTCACCAAGGTACGGCAGTGGTCCTCGTGGTGGCCATGACGTGATTATGGAGTTGTGACCTGTGTGTCGGGTTCACGTGTTTTGGGTGGCTTCTGCCGTGTGTTGTGAACGGTACCCTCGTGTACTATGAATTGGTGGAAATTGTTGGTGGTTGTTGGTGTTAGAATATTTTATTCTAATGTTATTGTGGTCCATGTATTAAAGTGGTCTAGACAATTAAAATCCCGTTGTGATAGGTAATGGGAATAAAATATGTAACGGATCAAGTGGTTATTATTCCCCTCTCTTTGGCTTTCAATAGGGCTATTTAAGCCTACTTAATATTTGGTTTATGGCCATTATTGCCATAATTCCAATAATCAATATTGGAATGTAAGTTATGTAAAGAAGGCAATATAAAAGGGCATAAGCATTTTCCTATCCTATCACTGTGAAAACTAACGTGAAAGACCAGAGGGAAAAGTATTCTGAAAAACACTCTACAAACTTGCATAAAGCAGTTGTGAAGAAGAAAGGGTTGAAAGCTTCATCATTCTCTCATGGAATCAGGTTAGTACTTTAACGCTTCCGATTAAAGTATTGGTTAAATCATTCCATGCCTATTGTTATAGTTTTACATGTGGTATCAGAGCAAGGTTAGGTATAATGATTTACCAATTTTGTTTTGAAATTTGTGTATATATATGTGTGTTAATTTCAATTTGTGTATATGTATATATATGCGTTAATCTTGTATTGAAATTATTTATATACATATTATGGTTATATACATATATTAAAATTTTGACGGATTAAAGATAATCTTGATGAATCAAAGTTTAATTATCAAAATTTGAATCGTTCCGTCGTCTGCTAAACGACCGGACCGATCGTCCGTAAGCCAACCGTCTTCTGCAGCCTTGCGGCTGGAGAAGGAAAGCAGTTTTTACTGCTATTTCTCCAGCGCAAGGCTGGAGAAAACAATTTTGGGCCGTGAAGGGCTCTAGCCAAAACCAATTTGGCTAGAGCCCTAGCCCAATTTTGTTAAATTATATATATTATATAATAATAATAATAATAATAATAATAATAATAATAACAACAACAACAACAACAACAACAACAACAACAATAATAATAATAATAATAATAATAATAATAATAATAATAATAATAATATTGTTATTGTTATGGATGATAATGGTTTGAGAAGAAAATATTTGTTGGATTCATGAATTATTATAGTTTGGTGATTCGTGAATTTGTATGGTTCTCAAATTATTATTGATATTGTTATTATTATTTTTTTATCTATTTTTGCGAGGAGCCTATTAGCAAGGCCGGATTTTAGGCTGTGCAAGCTGGGCTACCGCACAAGGCCCCCAATTTTAGAGGGGCCCCAAATTTTAGAAGTCCAATATTTATTTTTTACCTAGCTAGTTTAGAAATAAAAATTAAAAGTTTTCTTTTACACTTAAAAGGTTTCATGAAGAGATGGTAAGAATGTGTATTTATTATATTTTAACTTGGAGGTCAAAGGTTCGAAACTTGCATGTATTAGTTTTTAAAAATTATGATTTTGGTAGGGCCACATTTATTTACCAGAACAGGGCCACAAAAACTTAAAATACGGCCCTGCCTGTTAGTCACCAAAGTGGCCTGGCTAAGTGACAGTTAGATTAAAATATTAAATTTTGTATACTTAAATTGTTTTTAGTCTACCAGGACTACGTGGTCTAATGGTATCCGGGTTGGACTTCCAATTGGAAGATTATGAGTTCAAGCCTCAGTGGAGGCGTTATTGGTTCTTTGTGTTTCAGTAGGTTGAGAAAGTATATGAACAGATACTACAATGTAATAGAGCCAGTAACTTTCAAAAAAAAAAAAAAATTTGTTTTTAGTCTATTAAGGATTCTGAGAGTCACCAAAGTGACCATGTTATATAATATTTGGACTAAATGAATGTTGTGTATGGCAATAAAATTCTATTTCACTCATTAAGGATGTCTATTTTTTTTTAGCTTGTTAATCACCAAAGTGATCTAGCTAGATGGAGATAGATGTTGATTAAAAATAGAATTTATTTTGCCCAAATCATTGAGATGCCTTAGATGACAATTACAATAATTATAAATTATATTGCTATGAGATTGCCCAAAGGTGAATCACTGCAAATAATTTATAATACTTAAAGAATATAATTTTAGTGCTTTGTCAAATAGCTTTGTTTATCCAAAGATGACTTGGTTATTTGACTAGTACTTTATTATTATTATTATTATTATTATTATTGTTTTATGTATTGTTGGTACCTATTAAAGTTATGTAAAGTCTGAATTGGTTATACGCTTAGCATAAAAGCATTAAAGTCTAAATATGAAATTTCAGCTTTTGCTCAATTCTCAGCTTCAATGAATGCTGTTGTGAGGTTCAATGGCCTCAATTATCAAGACTGGTCTGAACAAGTCCAATTCTACTTGGGCTTAACCAGACTAGACCTTTCCTTAAACACAAAGGAACCTGCAGCCCTCACAGACAAAAGCTCGCAAGAAGAGAAGGAATATCATGAACAATGGATGAGGTCCAATAAAATGTGTTTAAACCTCATGAA